ACACTTTGTCCTTACCGTTTACAACATCAAAATCATCTGGTGCTGTCCATGTTTTTTTAAATAATTTTAATTGTAGTATAGTTGCTTTACAGTGTTGTGTTAGTTTCTGCTGTGCATCAAACTGAATCAGCTATATGTATACACAGATTCCCCTCTTTTTTGGATTTCCTTCCCATTTGGTCACCACAGAGCAGTGAGTAGAGTTCCCTGTGCTATATAGTAGGTTCTCATTAGTTATCTTTTTTATACATAGTAGTGTATATATGTCAGTCCCAACCTCCCAATTCATCCCACCACCACCATCCCCACCGATGACAGTCATTCTGACATGTGTGAGGTAATATCTCAATGCGGTTTTGTTTGCTTTTTCTGATTATTAGCAATGTTGAGCAACTTTTCATGTGTCTGGTGATCCGTATACCTTTGTTGGAAAAATATCTATTCAAGTCTTCCCATGTTTTAATCGGGTTGTTTTTTCAATATTGAGTTGCATGAGCTGATCATATATTTTAGATATTAACCCCTTATTGGTCATATCTTTTACAAATATTTTCTCCAATTTGGTAGAATGTCTTTATTTTGTCTATGGTTTCCTTCACTGTGTGAAAGGTTTTATGTTTAATCAGGTCCCATTTTTTGTTGTTGTTCTTTTTTTTTTTTTTGCTTTTGTTTACTTTGTCTTAGGAAACAGATCAAAAAAACATTGCTACAATTTATGTCAAAGAGTGTCTTGCCTATGTTTCACTCTAAGAATTTTACAGTATCTGCTCTTACATTTAGGTCTTTGATCCATTTTGAGTTTATTTTTGTGTATGGTGTTAGAGAATGTCCTAATTTCATTCTCTTACATGTTGCTGTCCAGTTTTCCCAGCACCATTTATTGAAGAGACTGTCTTTTCTCCATTGTATATTCTTGCCTCCTTTGTCATAGATTAACTGACCATAGGTGCGTGGGTTTATTTCTGGGCTCTCTATTCTGTTCCATTGATCCATGTGTCTGTTTTTGTGCCAATAACACACTGTTTTGATTACTGTAGCTTTTTGGAAACTAGTTTTTCTAATTCTATCATTCCTGCCACACTTATTAGCTGGTATTCTTCAGGAATAAAGGGCTTTCCTTACTCTAACTACCTCCCATGGATTTTTATTTATTCAAAATGTTATTATCAAATACAGCACTCATTGTTTTTGATGTTTCGGTTGCTCCAGTTGTAATCAGTGTCAGCCTTTTCAAGCAGATTCCTGAATCTTTGTGACATGACCCTATTAGTGAATGAGCTCTTCTTTGCTTACAAAGGTATACTTGATCCAAGACTGACCTTGTATTTTCCTTGCCCCAGACCTGGGATCAGCCAGTTCTCTAAGAAGACTTGGCACTTTTGAGAAGGGAATGTTATTTAGAGACAAAAGATCTGGGCACTACATGTGTTTATTGCTTTCTTGGGTAGAATCATTTCAAGACTGGTTAAGTGAATAGAAGATTTTGTTGTTTTGTTTTTAAATCATGAGTTCATATTGGAATTCTCAATTCAACTTTACCATTAGAGAATTTTTTTTCTTTACATCTTGAATTTTGTATCCACATCTCTTTTTCTTACACCATAAACCTTGGCTTCTGATAATATTACTATATTTACTATTTTTTACTTTATCCTTATGAGATACATATACATAAAATAATTTCAAGTTATAATTATAATATTACTAGTACTAATAAACCTACTGGGTGATGCTTACAACTTTTTTTGCAGTTTTTCCTGTTTTTAGAATATATTTCATTAGCATGAATCAGAGGCTGTGTTGACAAGTTGGATGAAATAACTGTTTTCTCTGTATGACTATGCTATGAATTTGATAAACATTTAGATTCATTTGATTTTTTTGCATTCCATTTTAGGGTTTGTAATGTTTTCCTTCTCATTTAATTTTACTTTTTGGATACCTAAAATATTAATATGGCTCAAAAGTCAAAACCATAGAAGGAGGTGGACTCAGAGGAATCTAGCTCTCATCCTTGTCCCTTCCACCCTAGTCACCACCTATCCCCTGTAGAAAAGAAAAAAAAGAGAAGCCTCAGTTAAATATAGTCCGGAGACCAGAAGGGGGAGCTCTCATACCCTGCCATGATAGCAGAGCCCAACAGGAAGAAAACAGATTTTTCTTTCCTGCCAAGGACTCAAGCCAATGAAAAGCTATGGACTCTTTGTTTACTATAGCCCTCCCAACTTCCATTTCCCCTCTATAAAAGCGTTGTCCTTCCCTTGTCATGTGAGGACTTGCCCATTGTTTGGCATGGTTGCAGATTCCAAATTACAAATCTCTGCTCATTCCAAATAAACCCATCTTTGCTGAAAAAATATCTGGTAGTCTATTTCAGGTCAACACCTCCGTAGTAACCACTTTCATTAGTTTGTTTTTATAACAGCTTTATTGAGATATATTTCATATACCATAAAATCTACCCTTCTAAAAGGTACAATTCAATGGTTTTTAATATATTCACAGAGTTGTCCAACAATCATCACTATCTAATTCCAGAACACTTTCACCACTCCAAAAAGAAACCCTGTAACCATTAGCTGTTACTTCCCATGTCTCAGTCCTAGGCAACTATTAACCTACATTCTGCCTCTATAGATTTGTCTTTTCTGGTCATTTCATAAAAATGGAGTAATGTAATATGTAGCCTTTTGTGTCTGGCTTCTTTCACTTAGCATAATATTTTCAAGGTTCATCCATATACTTAAGTCCTTTTATGGCTGAATAATTTTCCATTGTATGTTTATTCCACATTTTATTTTTTCCAGTCAGCATTTGGTGGTCATATGGGCTGTTTCCACCTTTGGACAACTATGAATAATGCTGCTATGAATATTTGTGTATAAGTTTTTGTACAGAAATTTGTAATGCATCTGGAAATCACTTCAATAACAAAATTCGTATTTTCCTCATTCTTTTTAATGACTATATAATACCACAATGCTTGAATATACCATGATTTACATAACTAGTCACTTATTGTTGGATATTTATGTTGCTTCCAATATTTTGTTACTAAAAATTACACTGCACTGACACAAACTTGTGCATATGTTGTTTTGTATTTGTGGAGGTATGTCTTCAGAGTAGATGCCTAAAAGTGGAGTTGCTGGGTTAAAGGATAACTGAAAATGCAGATTTGTTAGATATTGCCAAATTCCCCTCCTGTAGGTCTGTATTTGTATTGCATTAACACCAGCAATCTGTTGGACTCCCTGTGCCCCAAAGTCTCATAAACAGAATGTGGTCAAGCTTTAGGGTTTGCCAAAAAATGGTATCTCAATATAGGTTTAATTTGCATTTTTCTTATTACAAGTTAACGTGCAGAGTTTTTCACATATTTAAGGTTATTTGTCATTCTAGTTCTGTGTTTTGTGTCTATTGTTCCTTTTGTTCTAAGGATTTTGAGGAGCAAGATTCTTCAAGTAAGGTAGATGGCCAGCCTTTTGGTGGAGGGAGGTAGGTGTCTCTCACTAACTGCTAGTAGGAGAATCTTCAACTGAATCCTTGGCTCATGTCACATATTAAGACTCTTAGAAAGTAAGAGCTGGAAGAACCCTTTGAGATTAGCTATTCCAGTCCCCTCATATTATAGATGACCAAACTGAGGCCCAGAGAGTAGGATGGACTTTCTTTAGGTTCATAGCAAATTAGCAATAAAGCTGAAATTTGAACCCAAAGTCCCTTTTCCCCGGGCAACTTCAAATTAACAACATGTGCTGATTCTTGTACCTTACGGAGATTATCATAAACAATTTTTTGGAAAGAAAATGCTTTTTAATGTTTGCTATTAGCCCAAATTACAAACATTGGCAATAAATATAAAAGCCATTGTCTTGTTAATTCTGCCTATTTGTCTGCAATATTGGCTATAGACGTATTTAAAAAAAAACCCAAAACAAAAAACTTAGAATGTCAGAGTTGGTCAGATCTTGGAGAGATATTATCATATCACAGGGGAACCTGAGGTCCAGAGGTCCAGAGTGATCAGGATTTATTACAGCAGGAGGCAAAGAGGGCCATTTAACCTTCACTAAGGGCCTCAATTTTAGGTGTTTTGAGATATTCTCCAAATGAGGTTAAAATATCTCATCAATGCATTTATGAGTGTGCTGATAGCTTTATTTTGTTAAACACAAACACTTAAAAGGCATCACAATTTTTCTAACCTTGTTGTCTCACTTATTTACTTTTTAATACACCAGGCGTGGTCTTAAGAGTGACTTGCCCATGGTCATCAAGAAAGCTAGTAGCAGAACTGACACTAGAACCCAGGTTTGCTGACTCCTGGACAGAGTATTTTCTGCTGCACCATACTGTTTCCTTAGAGCAGCTAGCCTTTTATGAGTAAAGTAAATTCATCTTTATTTACAACATTGAACCTTCATGCCAGGAAACACCACAGTGGGGCACACATGCCCTTACACCCACCCATCTTAGAGCCCATCACCAGACCTACTCTCTGGAATGCTGCTATCTGTTCCTACATGCCACACCCAAGCAAAGAAGGTGACCATAATCATAACTCCCATGTCTTGAGAACTTCCTATGTGCCCCGTACTTCACCTGTGTTCATTCAAATCCACACAACAGTCTTATGTGGTAGGGAATACTACTCTCATTTTATAGATGACCAAACAGGCTAAGAGAGGTTTTCCTAAGATTACACAGCTGGGATTTGAACCCACGTTTATCTGACAGCAAAGCCTGTGTTCAGCCACCATTCTACCTGGTGTTACCATTCAACTGAGACAACCCCTCAACTAAGATGCATGATGACCCTGAGAGGATATATATAAGGGTAAAGGGAAAACTGCCTTTCTCACAGAGCACTCAGACTGCCCAGGATGAAGCAGTTGGGGGCTGGGACTTAATGAGCTGACAGACAGTTTATCTGCAGTGCTACCATGTGGGCCATCCCTCTAATAGGAACTCTTCCTGAAAACCTAGAAGTTACTTACTTGACCAGGTGTCTTATAAGAAGTTCCAGCATCTCTCTGTTCTTTTCCGGTAGCTTATATACTAAGGAATGAATAGCTCCCAGCCGATAATCCAGGTTGTCAGACTCTGAGAGAGAACAGAGAGATAGTTTTGCCTTCTGGGCAACTGGATCAAGCAAACTCTCATACATATACACACAGGCACACACACACACGTGCACATGTGCACACAGACACAATCAGAGACACATAGAGTCAAAGAGATGGAAAGAGAGAGAGATATAGACACAGGGACACAATGACAAAGAGAGACCAAGAAACAGACACTGAAAGAAAGAGAGGGAGGGAGAGAGACTGACTAAAAGATAAAAACATAGATTGAAAACAAAGAAATAGGCCTAGAAAGATGAAGAATTAGAAGAGAGAAGAGAAAAGAAATATGAGTAGAGAAGACAAGACTGTCTCAGAGCAAGTCAGAATTCTGGATACAGCAGGTTGCTCCTAAAGTTCCACATGTAAACTTTCAGCTGGAATCCCTTGCCCACCCACTTTCCTTGTGGAACTAGGAGGTATGCTTCTGCCTCTGGGTTCCTATGAAAATCACTGGGAGACCTCAGAGTAAAGATCAAAGCTCTCTTGCCTCAACAAATATTCATTATGAAGACAAATCCCCTGAATCATTTTCCTGAAACCATACAAGGCATAATGCATAAGAGTCACATCAAGGTAGGAAGGGATTCTCATACAGTGGCCTCAGCCAAAACTTTTAATGCTTCTTCAGCTGCCAACTTTTTAAGTGATTCTATATGCCTTATTTCCTATGTACCCTTCCACCCTCACCATCGGTCTTATCATCTAAAAAAATGTGATGCTAGCACTAAAAGATTAGGAGTAATAATTCACAACACAATTGAAAAGCATTTGAAAAGGCAAAGTGCTGAAAAAATGCTGAAATAGTAACCGTAATGGAAACATTTTGCTGTCCCCTGGCAATGTGAGCCATCTTGTTCTGATGTAAGAGGCAAAATCAATCAATAAAATCCTCAGACCTGTCATATCCCTCGTTAGCCAGTTTTCTCCAATTCACTCAACTAACATTGATTTATGAAAAATAATACAACACTTGAGTTAGCAAGTAAGAATACTCTCATTTGACAGTGGACAAAATCTGTGTATATGTTTGTTTTTTCCCTCACTTTCCCTCAAGCAGTCTTCTAGGCTTGTTGCTGTAAATATTACTTAGAAGCGAGGACAACACAATTAACTAAGTAACATAAATACTTACTGGCAGCAGAGACCAGCTCTTTGTGAAGTCTATAGGTCATGACAGGTTCAGAAAGATTCCTGAAATTAATGAAGACTGTAAGTTCCTTTGGGGAGGGAGTAGCAAGGCCTTAGATGCGCAGTTCTGTGAGCAGCAAGGCTGAAGTTTCTGAGCTCCACAGATTAATGACTACATACATTTCTCTCTTCATCTGAAACTTTGTCAGAGTAATCCTAGTTGCTAGTAATTCAGCAGAAGACCTATAAAAGTATGAGCTGAGACCTTGTGCAGGGTCTCCAATTCATTCCCCAAAGTGAAAAGAGGCACAAATCAGTCCTGCAAAATTCCAAAGTGGACCCACTATGAATGCTACTATGAAGTCCTTACAGTTGGATAGTTCCTCAGTTTCCAAAGTGCTTTTATATCTGTCCTCCCATTTGATCCTTCCAAAGATCCTGTGAGGTGAAGCAGTAATTCAAATACCCATTTAATGGAGAAGGAAATTGAGCCTCAAATAGGTTTCTTTATTTAGTCAAAAAATATTGGCTGAGGGACTTCCCTGGCGGTCCAGTGGTTAACACTACGTACTTCCACTGCAGGGGGAATGGGTTCGACCCCTGGTTGGGGAACTAAGATCCCGCTTGCTGTGTGGTGCAGCCAAAAAAAAAAAAAGTGTTGGCTGAGCACCTACTGGGGACTGGCATTGTGCCAGGTATTGGGGATCCAGATGAATTAGACATAGTCTAAACCTCCAAGGAGCTAATAGTCTAGTTGAGGAGAGTTCCATATACAAAATGTAGGTGATGCATGGCTCAGAGGAAGGAAGTAATACACTAATAATAATAATAACAAACTATCCACTGTTCTAAGTGGTTTATATATATTTACTCAGTTAATTCTCATGACAACCCTGTAAGGTAGATATTGTTATTATCTCTATTTTATAGATAAGGAAACTGAGCTTCAGAAAAGTTAAATAGTTCATCCTAGACCACACAATTAGTAAGTGGCAGAATTTAGCAGTCTGTCTCAAGTCCATGTTCTTAATCACTACTTTATACTGCTTGCCACTGCTATTATTGTAGTAATCTAGGTGAGAAATAATAAAGACCTAAACGAAAATAGTGCCATTAGGGATAGAAAGAAAATGTGAGGAGAGTCATTTGAAAGACATTAGAGACAGAGCTTCAATAATTGCATATGTTGATGATGGAGAGAGTAATCTGGTTTACGTGACTGAATAGGTTAGAAATTGATTGAGAGGGAAGTGGAGATGCTATGTCAGAGGGTTTCTGGGATAGCCAAAGGCAGATGTTTATTAGGAAGATGGATGGAGTGCCTTTCTAGATCTGAGAAGTAGATGTGGAAATCATGAGCCTAGGAGGGTGATTAGAACCATGAGAACAGATACCACTGCTCAAGGAAAGATGACAAACTGGCAGGCAACAGCTACATGAGACCTTTCAACAATTCTTCCCTGTCCAGAGTAGTGTGTAAAAAAGAAATGGAATTGAATGAGTCATCAGAATACGAAAAAAATTGTATATTATACATAGAAGTCAATATTGTCTGCCTCTACTGAAAAACTGAAAGATCTGTCTATATTGGGTCCATATGGTTATTTGTGGAAATAAAGAATATTGCTGTTTATATATAAACAAAGGGATTGCTATGCAAGTCAAGGTTTTATATGCAACATGTTTAACATAAAAGAAGTCTACTTCAGTCATTTTCATGTCCTGGCTCTTGTGGATATTTGAATTTTCCATCCCCTCAGTGTAGTAAAAAGAGAGGAAAGCCCTAGGAAATACCAGGTAGAAAGTCCATAAAAGGGACTTCTAAAAATTGTCAAACAGGTGAGAGAAAATCCAAAAACAATGGATTAGCAGAATCCAAAAGAAGAAGTTTCAAGGAGGGCTTGTTAACAGCTTCAAATGCTACAAAGAGGTCAAATAAAGTAAAGGCTGACAATTGTCCATTGTGTTTAGAATTGAGGGAATCACTGGCGACCTTGGCAAGAGCAGCTTCAGTAGAGCAGAGGGGGCGGGAGTCAGACTGCAGTGGGTTAAGGAGTAAACTGGGACATTAAGAAGCAGAGACAGGGAGTGTATATTATTTCATTCACTGAAGCTAGATTGGGAAGGGGTGAAATATCTCACTAGGCAATCTCATCTAAGCTCCTCACTCCAATTATCATCTACACTGTTGATGATTCTCAATTTTTTAGCTCGAGCCCAGAATTCTTGAGTTTCATTCCTATATATTTCCTATATATCAAATTGCCTACTTAAAATTCTTGTCCTGATTTCTTCAAAGACACCGAAATTTGACATATCCAAAACGTAACTTGTCATATCCCTCAAATTTAGTCATTTTCTTCTGTTTCCCAAATCAGTAAATGTATGACCATCATTTGGTTGTATGGGTTGGAAATGTGGAAGCCATTCTTTTATCTCCCTCTCCTCCATCTTCATATCCAAGTTTACTCTCTAAATCTCTTGAATATGCTTATTTCTATCTATCCCCACCACTACTCCCTAGTCCACACAGAAGCATCATCTCTTTCTGGGACCACAGCAATAGCTTGCTAATTGGTTTCCACCTCTACTTATTTTGCCTCTCTCTAATCTCATCTCTCTATGTTTTTCTCAAAATGCAAATCTCATCATATAACCTCCTGCTTAAAAATCTTTCAATATATCCTCATTCCTTTTAATATAAATTAATACCCCAATTCTTAAAATGTCCTAAAAGCCCTTGTATGATCTGGCCCCTACATATCTCTCCCTCCCTGTCTACACTCAATACTCCACGTAAACTGGTACATGTAGTTTCTTAAAAGGGTCTTCCTCTTGCTTCAAGGTCTTTGCATATGAAGTTATTTTTGTCTGGAACTGCCTCCCTCCACCCCCAGTTGACTCCAAGTTATAATTCAAACATCATTCCAAACTAAAAAACAGAACAAGTTAGGCCTTCCTATTATATGACTGCATAGCACCTTGCACTTTTCCTTCAGAGAACTTATCATAGCACATTATATTTGTATAATTATTTGTCTTTTGTCTGTCCACTTCACTGTACTATAACCTTTTTAAGGTCATATCTACTCACAACTGTATGGCTATTGCCAGACACCATGCTAGGCATAGAGTAGGTCAGGAAATGTTTACTGAATGGTTTAGTGAATGGTAGAATAAATGAACACAAAGAGATGTGTAATGTTGGAGCATATTTACATGCTGAGAGGAAAAAGCCTGTTGAATGAGAGAGGGTAAAGATACAGAAGAGAGAAGGGATGTTTTTTACAGTAATTTTCTAGAAGTGTTGGAGACAAGCAGTGAGTTAGGTGCCTAGAACACAGATGGAGGAAGTCCACTATGAAAATACTGACATATTTAAGAAATCTAAAGGGGGTTGACTGGCTAGTACATATTAAGTGTTCATGGATAAGACACTTAAGAACAAATATCTCTTATTGGGGGTACAGGCCACTCAAACTTTCAGGCTCAATCTTCTCATCTTTCAAAAGAGCTACACTGCTTGTTATGGGATAAGCTGGGAAAGACGTAATGTGGGAGGGACTTACTCTATATAAATCTCTGAAAAAACTAACTCCTTTTAAGGAGGCTAGAGACACAGAGTTATTTACTTGCATTATTCTCATCATCACGAGTCTCCTGAAAGTATGCATAGCAGATTGCTCTGTCTTTCTTAAATTACCCAAGCAACTCCAAGAAGGCCACAGCCCCTGGGCAGTGGGGAATAGGGGAATAAGGTGCTCCAATACCAGTGGCCTTATAAGTCAGATACTTAGGTTCAAATAATATGAGCCATGATCATGAATATTACTTAATGGGGGAGGGATATGATTTAATTTCTTCATCTGTAAAATGAGTATGGTAACACCTACCTTATAAGATTATTGTGAGAAAAAAACAATGATATTGTCAACGTATGCAACTAGAACACAGCCTAGCACAGAATAAACCCTCCAACACCAGTGCTTTTCTTCTTCGGCATATGCAGGAGAAATACCCCTGGAAAGAGCATTCATGTTTTCTTAAAGTTCTAAGATGATGCTACAGCAGAAGATCATTTAATAGCAATATCTGGGACCCAATCTATTTTGGATTAATGACATTTCCCATAGCTAAAGTACCTATCTTAATGTCTAAAGAGTACATTAATTGAAAAGAAGACATTTTACCACATAAAGTATGGTGCATACATGGGACATAGAAAATGGTAAGAAATGAATGACTTTAAAAAGTACATATGTCACAAATATTTTTACGTAATATAAATCTATGCCAATAAACTGAATGATATATTCATCATCATTGTGCATCCCCAAATTTTGCTTGTAAGTTAATTTTTTTCCCAACTGCCATCACTTCATTCAGTTCTAACATTTTTATGGTTGTAGTTTTTTGGTTTATATTTCCATTATAACAAAAGACATACAAATACACAAATTATGTTTGTGTAAATGTAATTTAATGTTTCAAAATGGTTATTATCCACCAAATCATGTTAACAACCTTGAAATGTCACAACTCCTGATTTTACTAGTGAGCCCATTTGTGACATCACCCTATCTGTGCACAATGACAAAACTTCAATTATTTTAAGGGCGTGATTTTTAAATAATCTTTTTTAAAGCCAATTTTCTTCAAAAAAGCCATATTTCAATAACTATTCTATTATTTTAATGCTTCCCTCGCTTAAATTCCCAAATTTTAAAGTCTCCTAATGCACATTCTTCTTTGACAGAAATTTTTTTCACTATTTTTTTCTTTAGCAATCCTATCCAACCTCCGAAAATTGGGACCACATTAACTCCAATCTCCATCCAGAAATATTTCATCAACTCTGAAAAGGAATGTTCCAAATCATATCAGATATACCTGAGGTAGAATTTCAAGGAGCTGGTGATTGTCTTAATGTCCCAGTCACTATTATGAAAATCAACATCTCCTGGACATTTAGGATCTATTTGAGAAGAAAAAAATGAGAAAAAAGTTAACATTCCACAAGATCTTACATTTTATCTTACATTTAAAGTGCATTAATTAAAAGATGGTTATTCTAACCAGTTTTCAAAAGATGAAAACTTTACAACAAACATGTTTTTGAGGTCTCAAAAATTCCCTTATATTCCAGCTAGGGATGTAAGGAGCTTGGAAGCCACCTCTTTCATTCACACAATAAGAAAAAAAAAATGGAACAAACTGAAAGTCAACTCCTCTTAGTTCCATCAGAGAACTGAGGTCATAGGGCAAACTGAATAAACAGACAGGCACATACAGAGAATCAAAACTTATAGAGCAGAAGCCCAAGGGTAGAAAACTCCTTGGGAAACAGTACAGGGCTAGGAAAAGCCAATCTGTAATTGGCAAATTTCTAGTGGCTCAGGGTGGACAAAATTGAGAGTTAAAAATTTTAAGCAGGCCCAGTCCTAGGGGACTCCCAAGTTTTTGTGAGTTTTACCTCCAGGAGCCCTATCAGGTTCTCACAGTGAAGATCTGAGAAAAATTCCCTCATGTTACTGTAATTCTGAGAAGGGGATAAGAAAACTAGCCATTTAAAAATATGTACAGAGCATTTCATCCTTCTTAATAAGGCCTACCCTCAAGAGAAACTACTTTACCAGAGCTTAACTGACCTGGGAAGGGGGAAATTTCCAATTCCAGAAATGAAATCCCTTCCTGTCTCTTCTAAGGGGGAAAACTGAAACAAAACTGAGAAATGCTTGTGAAAGTCACAGGCCAGAAGCACATGTTCACTAAAATACTGAGACATAACTGTAGAATTGTAGAACACTACCCCTGCCCTCACACCTTACCACCATATCAACAGGCTTCCTGGATAATAACAAGGGAATATGACTAAAAGAATTATTCTTCTCAGATAATATTTAAGAAGTCTCTAGGGAAAACAAAAGACAAGAGAGGAAATAAAAACGAGGACACCAGAGGTAAGTTTAGCCCCAGAGACCTAGAGTTACAGCAACCAAAAAACACAGGCTAAACTCTAGCCACATAAATAAAACCTCATGCTAAAGACCCATTTACCTCTGTTCCTTTTACCCATAATGTCTGACTTGCAACAAAAATTACAAGAAAACACTAAAAGACAAAAAAAGTTTCAAGAAACACAGAAAGCATCATAATAAGACTCAGATATGGCAGATACTTTATAATTATCAAACTAGGAATTTAAAACAACTATGATTAATATACCAAGGACCATAATGGGTAAAGTGGACAACATTAAAAAAAGGAGTTGGATTAATGTAAGCAGAGAGATAGAAGCCTTAAGAAAGAATCAAAAGGAAATTTTAGAAATCAGAAACAATATAACAGAAATGAAGAATTCCTTTGATGGACATAGGTGAGAAAATAATCAGTGAACTTGAAGAAATGTCAGTATAAACTTCCAAAAATAAAATGCAATGAGGAAAAGAAAGAAAGAAAGAAAAAGACAGAAGAGAATATCCAAAAACTGTGGGACAATAACAAAAGGTGTAACATACATAAAATGGGAATACTAGAAGGAGAAGAAAGAGAAAAAGGAACAGCAGAAATATCTTAAGCAATGATGACTGAGAATTTCTGAAAACTAATAATAAACACAAAACCACAAATCCAGGAATCTTGGAAAACACCAATCAGGATACATATCAAAAGAATCTACACCTAGGCATACCACAATCAAACTGAATAAAACCAAAGACAAAGAAAAAATCTTGATAGAAGCCAGAAGAAAAAAACACCTTACTGAAGGAAGAGCACAACAAGAATCATTCCAACTTTTCTCAAGAAACCATGTAAACAAGAAGAGAGTGGAATGAAATATTTAAAGTGTTAAAAGAAAAAAAAAAAAGACCAGCCTGAAAGAGAGAAATTACCTTTCAAAGGTGAATGAGAAATAAATACTTTCTCAAATAAACAAAAGACAGTAGAGGAAATAAAAACAAGGACAATTGTTTGATCTACAAATCTACAATTTGAGAAAATTTGTCACCAGTAGATCTCCCTTGCAAGAGATGTTAAAAGAAGTTCTTCACAGAGAAACCTATAGGTCAATAATTCATATTTACATAGAGAAATGAAGAGTATTAGAGGAGGAATAAATGAAGGTAAACAAAACACTATTACTCTTATTATTAACTGGTCTAAGAGGTAAAAGTTTAAAATAATAGCAACAATGTATTCAGTGATTATAGCTTATGGATAGTGAAATGAATGACAAAAATGTTATAAGGGTTTAAAGAGAGGAATTAGAAACATTCCGTTATAAAGTACTGGCACTAACAGTGTAGTGGTATGGTATTATTTGAAAGAGGACTTGGATAAATTGTAAATGTACGTTGCAAATGCAAGGGCAACCACTAAAAAAGAGTTTTAAAAAAGTATAATTTATACGTTAACAGAATAGAAAAAATAGAATCACAAAAAATACTCAGTTAAACCCAGAGAAGGCAGAAAAAGAGTGGAAAATGAAAAGAGAAACGAAGAACAAGGACCATGACCAGAAAAATGTAGCAAGTATGGTAGGTATTAATCCAACTATATCAATAATCACTTTAAATGTCAATGGTATAAATACACCAATGAAAATACACAGATTGTCAGAGTGTATTATAAAATAAGACTTAATTATATATTATCTACAAGAAACCGACTTCAAATATAAAGAGACATATAGATTAAAATAGGGACGGAGAACAATATACCACGCTAACATTAATCAAAAACAAAGCTGAGGTAGCTCTATTCATTTCAAACAAAGCAGACTTCAGATCAAGGAAATTATCAGGGACAAAGAGGGCCATTAAATAGAAGGATTAATTCTCCAAGAATACATACCTATCCTTAAAAGATATGCATCCAACAAAAAAGCACTGAAACATGTGCTTTTCAACACCCCTTTACTGGTAATTGACAGATACAACGGTTAAAAAATCAGTAAGTAATTGAACTGAACAGCATCATCAATCAGCTGGATTTAATTGACATTTATAGACTACTTCATCCAACAAAAGCGAATACACATTCTTCTAAAGTTCATATAGAACATTCATTAAGATAGACCACATTCTGGGCCATAAAACAGACCTTAATAAATTCAAAAGAATAAAACCTTACACCAGTATGAAATTAAACTAGAAAAAATAACAGTAATATAATATTCAATGAAATCCCTATCAAAATACAAATGGCATTTTCCACAAAAGTAGAACAAATAATTCTAAAATTTGTATGGAAACACAAGACCCGAAATAGCCAAAACAATCTTGAGAAAGAAGTACAGAAGTAGACATATCAGATGTCCTGATTTCAAACTATACTACAAAGCTACAGTAATAAAAATAGTATGGTACTGGCACAAAAACAGTCCCATAGATCAATGGAACAGCATAGAGAGTCCAGAAATAAACCCATGCTTATATAGTAAATTAATCTACGACAAAGGAGGCAAGAAAATACCATGGGGAGAAGACCCTCTTTCCAATAAATGGTTTGGGAAAACTGGACAGCTAGCTACATGCAGAAGAATCAAACTGGACTACTTTCTCATGCCACATACAAAAATAAACTCAAAATGAATTAAACGCTTAAATACAAGACCTGAAACCATAAAACATCTAGAAGAAAACATAAGTGGTAGGCTCTTTGACATCAGTCTTAGTAATATTTTTTGGAATATGTCTCCTCAGGCAAGGAAAATAAAAGCAAAAAAAAAGTGAGACTACATCAACTTACAAAGCTTTTTCACAGCAAAGGAAACTATCAACAAAATGAAAAGCCACCTTACTGAATGTGAGAAGATATTTGCAAATGATATATCCAACAAGAATATATATATACACACACACACACACACACACACACACACACACATACAACACACACACACAAGGATATATACAAGGATAATATATATATATATATATTTTATATTCAAAATATAAAAAAGAAATCATACAATTCCACTTCAAAGAAACCAACAACACAGTTTAAAAAATGACAGAGGACATGAATAGAGATTTTTCCAAAGAAGATATACAGATAGCCAGAGGTGCATGAAAAGATGTTCAAAATCATTAGGGAAATGCAAATCAAAACTACAATGAGCTAACACCTCACATCTGTCAGAATGGTTATTATCAAAAAGACAAGAAATAATAAGTGTTGGTGAAGATGTGGAGAAAAGAACCCTCATTCACTGTTGGTAGGAATGTACACTGGTGCAGCCCCTATGGAAAGCAATATGAAGATTCCTTAAAAAATTGAAAATAAAACTACCATAAAATCCAGAAACTCCACTCTGGGTATTTATGCGAAGAAAATGAAAACACTAATTTAAAAGATATATGCACCCATATGTTAGGTTCAACCTAAGTGTCCATCGACAAATGAATGGATAAGAAATATATGGTATATATACACACTGGAATATTACTCAGCCATAAAAAAGAATGAAATCTTGCTACTTGTCACAGCATGGGTGGACCTAGGGGGTATTATGCTAAGTGAAATAAGTCAGACAGAGTAAGACAAATACTGTATGATTTCACTTACATGTGGAATCTAAAAAAAACAAAACAAACGTGAAAACATAACCAAACAGAGTCATAGATAAAGAGAATAAACAGGCAGTTGTCAGTGGAGTAGTGGTTGAGGGGAGGAGAGAAATAGGTTAGGGAGATTAAACTTCTAGTTACATTATGAAATGTACAGTGTGGGGAATATAGTCAATAATTATGTAATATCTTTGTAAGGTGACAGGTGACAACTATACTTATCATGGTGATCATTTTTAAATGTACAGAAATATTGAATCACTATCTTGTGTACCAGGAACTAACACACTGCTGTAGGTCAATTATACTTCAAAAACCAGCAAACAAATTCAGAGAAAAAGAGATCAGCTTTGTGGTTATCAGAGACAGGGCATGGGGGAAGGGGGAATTAGATGAAGGTAGTCAAAAGGTACAAGCCTCTAGTTATAAGATCAGTAAGTACTAGATATGTAATTTACAACATGACAAAGATAATTAACACTGCTCTATGTTATATATAAAAGTTGTTAAAAGAGTAAATCTTATTTTCTATTTCTTTTATGCTATATTTATATGAGACTATGGATTTTTAGTAAGCTTATTGTGGTAATCATTTCATGATGTATGTAAGTCAAATCATTATTTTGTACACCTTAAACATATATATGTCAATTATATCTCAATAAAAATGGAAGGAAAAATAGCGGTTAGTTGGAGTTGAGATATTCTGTAAGTATAAAATAGACACCACATTTTGAAGAATTAGTACAAAAAGGAATGTAAAATATCTCATTAATAATTTGTTATATTACATATTAAATTGGTAATATTCTTAATATATAGGGTTAAATAAAGTTTATGATTTTAAAAAATGTCTAAGTTCAATGTCTTATCTAAATATCATCTAAATCAGATACTGGTGAGATCATTCATCCTGAAGCAAACTGCTCTCCAGCTGGCAACCTGCAAAATCAAGCATGTTAGGTGCTTCCAAAATACCAATATGGGACAGGCATAGAACAAACACTCCCATTCCAAAAGGAAGAAATAGGAAAATAGAAAGGGGTACTGGTACTGAGCAAGTCCCAAAACTTAAGGCCAGTTTGGGTGGGGATCCTGCCTTCTAGACACACTGGGGTAGTGGTCTTGTCCCCAAGGCTTTGGGTGGCCCTGCTCCCATGGCTTGGTCGGCACAGCACATTCTGCAGCTCTCCTGGGTCAGAGTTCATTGCGGGTGACTCTCCCAGGCTGGAACTGCATACATGTGGTTCTACTAGTTTGGGGTAATGGAGGCAGCCCCATTCCCACAGATCCATTTGGCATTGCACCAGTGGGGACTCTCTGTGGTGGCCATGGCTTACAACAGCCCTTTGCCTCCACCCATCAAAATACATTTGGAAGTAGTCACACCTCCATAGCTCTTGCACTCTGCATGCTGGCAGAGAAGGTGCTGCAGTGATGCCCACAAGGTTTAGTGCCTATGCCCTCCAGAGGGGCAACCACTTTAAGCCTGTGCCTGTGCTTCCCCTTATATAATCCTTTTCTCTCAGAAGAGTGTCTAGCATATAGTAGGTAAGCTTCATCATTTTGCACTAAGTAAAGGCAAAAGATTCCCAGCTATAGAATCAACACTTCAATTGCTTGAATGAGAATAATATCCTCCTATATAAATTGGTAATTGGTATATTCTGAAGCTTACTGCAGCCTTATTTGTGTAAAATCTTGGCCCTGCCCAAGGCCCGTCCATTCTCAGTGAAAGTAAAGTGGCCATAAATTTAGTCATGTGTCGCATTTAGGCTTCTTAATCTTCAAAAGAATCTATCTACCCAAATTTCAGCTCATTTGATTGTAAAACATATGGGTCTGCATGTAACTGACATGACTATGATTTCTGAATTCCAATTACTTCTCAGAGAATTCCAATTTCAGCTTTATATTGCCTAATTCTTATGCACATCTTTGTGACAAGATAGTATTTATAGAGAATTATTGGAGAAACATGCAGTCAAGATATTCCTCTAAGTGACTGAGATTTTCTTTTCCACCCAAACGAACTACCCTCTGAATCTGAGGTTTACCACAGCAGTGATTGTTGGAGTAATGTTTCGCTTTTCTACTCATTTGGACCTGAAAGTTTGAGCAAGAACTCAAACCAATATCTTACAAACCCAAATTTGACTCCTCCTTGTCTATAATGTAATAGAAACAACAAACTGAAAAGTTATTAGGGCCAGGAATAGTCAATGTAGCTCAAAAGAAGGGAAACTGAAGAATCAGAATACAGGCATCCCTCTGAAAAAAAAATTACTGCAAGAAATAGAAAGTTTTAAAACTTTGGTGATAAGTTGTCAATATAATGAAAGGTGGCTTCAATAAAACTCAAATAGTAATGAAGATAAAAATTACCCTTAGATTAGGAACAGAAGGAAATATTTACAATAGTATGCTGGGAGAGGAGGGGAGCCTTGATTTGCAGCATTTGCCAAATTCTGTGGAGTGGGGCTAATTCCAAGCTACCACATGATGTCAATAAACTTGAAGTTGGGAAAAGATGTGCAAAGTCAGGTCTCATGAGCCAGTATGAGTGCATCCAGTACACCACTGAATCTGTCTCAAATGATCAGTTGATATCATAGTTAAAGCTTAAGATCAGTAGCCAGAAAGGACTCCTTCTTTCACCACTACTACTTGTCATTGGATCAGAGTGTTTTGAACAATGATTCTCAAACCTAACTTCTAGAAATCTCTGAGAAACTTTGAAAATAAAAATGTCCAGGCTCCTCTCCATGTAAAGTAAATAAGAACCTCTGGAGGTGAGTCTTGGTTGTTTTTTAAATTCTCCAGATGATTTTAATGAATGGCAAAGGCAGTGAACAGCTAGGACATTTAATGTAATTAAACAAGGAATAGGAAACTTAGAGCTGTTGGAAAGGAGACAGAGTAAGAATTATTTATCGGGCCTCCCTGGTGGCGCAGTGGTTGAGAGTCCGCCTGCTGATGCAGGGGATACGGGTTCGTGCCCCGGTCCGGGAGGATCCCGCATGCCGCGGAGCGGCTGGGCCCGTGAGCCATGGGCGCTGAGCTTGCGCGTCCGGCAACGGGAGAGGCCACGACAGTGAGAGGCCCACATATCGCAAAAAAAAAAGAATTGAATTATTTAGACGTAACTGTCCACCCGAAAAACCCAAGATAAACAATTAAAAAACTGTTAAAACTCACAGGAAATATTGTTAAAAATCCTTGGTCAGAAAATAAAGATACAAAAATCATAAGCATCTTATACACTAGCAATAATCAGTTCCAAAATTTATTGATAATAAGAAAAATGGTACTCTGTGCATGTGTGTGTATATGTTATTTTTATAATCAAACCTAGGAATAAATATGTGTAAACATTTAGGACTCATCTAGAAAAAAGTATAAAATATAAAAAGAAAACTACATAAATGAAAACATATACTGTGATTCTGTACAGAAAGACTAAATATTGAAAAGTTATCAACTTGACTCCAATTAAGTTTTAGATTTAATAGGATTCAAATAAAAATGTCAAAAAGCTTATGTTTTCTGGAACATGATAAAAAGTTTACATGGGACAATGAGTTGGCAAAAATGGTTTAAACATTTTTTTAAAGAAGAATAATTGGGGAGAATTTGTGCTACTTGATAGGAAAATGATTAAAGATGCTACAACAATAACAAGGTCATACTAGTACAAGAATAACAAATGGAAAAAGTGAAGAGCTCATGAAAAGATCATCATGTAAATATGAGAACTTAATATACAATAAAAGCAGCATTATAAATTAGTGAAAAAAGAAGACATTCAATAAATGGAGCATAGAAAATTAATAATTTGGAAAAAATTCAGTTAGATCCCTATTTCACAACCAAACATATTCAATTTCAAATTAACAGAAGAATTAACATGTAAAAAAAAACATTCAATTTGCAGAAAACCAAATGAATTTTTATAGGCTCTTGGTTTGGGAATGACATTCTGAGCATATTAGAAAATGAAGTTTTGTGTGCACCCTGGAGCACATCATGAATATATAGCAAGGTTCACAAGTTCTAGAAACTGGAACAGAGATGACCATTTGACAGCTATATTGGGGTCATCGTTTGATGTAGAATATGCACTGAAACTATGCATCCCCAAAATGAGCCTATAGTCAGGTGACAAACGGCACCAGAGACATTAGGGAATCTTTGTGAAATACAGATTCCTGGATCCCAAGACAAGAGACTGTTTCATTGGGCCCAGGGTTAGGCCTGGGAAGTTTTGTTTTGTTTTGTTTTGTTTTTGAATAACAACTTCTCAAATGTGATTCTAGGGTGAGGCTGTTTTCCTGTTGTGTTTTGTTATGTGATAGATAATAAGATTGAGAGTAAAAATAATCATAGGAATATCTTGGTCAAAGTTCTAAGCACCACTCCAAATGAGGGCACAATGTTTATTTAACTCACATTTAGAGGAAGAAAAACAAAAACGAAAACACAACAACAAAAATACCCCCACAATAGTAAGAAGGTAATAGTGGCTCCTCTAAAACACACGAGTCATGTCAGAGTGTACCAACTAATGAAGAAAACATGAGTAATATGATATTACTGTGAAAATTCTGGTTGCATTAATAGTAAGATAAGCTTTGATTACTTGCAGTTGATAAAACTGATCGACTGAGAGGAAGAAAGAGAAGTCACTAATAGAAAGTGGAGGAAAAATGAGACTATCAGTCTCTGACACAAGTCGTGAAGGAAGTAATGATTAATGTGATTGATCAGTTTCACCAAGTTACAGCCTTGCCAGCTCAGTCTCTTGCTTATTGCCCTTCTTCACTTATAAAACCCAGGGATGGCAGACTAAAGGAGAGCTGAAATAAAGGTCACTTGTCCTTTTGTTGTTGCTGTATATATATGTGTCCCAAGTAGAGTGATAAGAGACAATACACTCATAGGAAAACAAATATTATAAACTACGGCTGCAGGAGATCTTCAAATATTTAATAACCAATAATGGCACACGGTTCCATCAATAAGCAGAGATACTGGTTGTAAACACCAGAAATAGCCACACTGATGCCTCCCAGCTATTTCAGACCTGGTTCCTGCTATATATGTAGAAGACAGGGGTGCTACCTGACAAAAAGGTGGAAGCAACCTTAGTTAGCTGATTAAAATAAATCCATATGTGATCTACTGGTTCTCCCTGGATTCAAATTATATCAAGATTATTAATAATATTTATAACCTTGAGACAATAATTCTACTTCAGCAAATCTATGCAAAGTAAACATTAGAACGACTTCATCCACAAATTATATAATCACAAAAAAGGAGACAAATGAAATGCTCAATAAGAAGGAAATAATCTGATAAATTTTGGTTCTTTTGTCTACCATAATATTATGCAGCCATTAAAATATTTGCAAAGCATTTTTAATCGTATGGGAAATGCTTATGTTGAGGTAATTGTGGCCATGAAAAATCTAAATCTCCCTACACATCCTCCATAAATCAACACAGAACCACTAGAAACACATAAAAGTACACAAAGCCATGCTCTCCACATGAAAACACAGAAAACACCCAAATTCCAAATTAATTGTAAGTAGAAAAATAAACACCAAATCCCAGTGAGGTATCACTCATAGTCCCCCTCCACAAACCTTTGTAGAAAGCAAGGGCAATGCTGGGCAAAGTTCATTCATGAGAAATAAAGAGGACTAGAGGTCTAAGATTAATATAAAGCTAGCACCAGAAAGACAAAGTCTACACAAAGTGTAAAAATACTGAAAGACAGTCAGGGTAGATCAGAGCACTTAGGGAAAGGTGTTTAAGCAGTCTTCAAAAGGCAGTCTTGAGAGAGACCTTCAAGATGGATGGAGAAGTAAGATGTAAAGATCACCTTCCTTCCCACAAATACATCAGAAATACATCTACATGTGGAACAACTCCTACAGAACACCTACTGAATGCTGGCAGAAGACCTCAGACTTCCCAAAAGGCAAGAAACTCCCCACATATCTGGGTAGGGCAAAAAAAAAAAAAAGAAGAGAAAAGAAAAAACAGAGACAAAAGAATAGGGACAGGACCTGCACCTATTGGAGGGAGCTGTGAAGGAGGAAAAGTTTCCACACACTAGGAAGCCCCTTCACTGGCGGTGACAGAGGGGTGGTGGTGGGGAAGATTTGAAGCCACGGAGGAGAGCACAAAAAGGCATGCA